ATATGAAATGTACAAAAGTTCGAAGAATAATTTCACCTATCAACATAAGACATCCCAGAAGGTTTCTTTAATCGTTTTTTAGGCGTATTTAATGCTATTTTATATGCCTTTCTTTTCCTCGGTGTTACTGAAATGAAATTGAGGATTTTAACTCCCTAGCATATGCCAGTACCAATTTACCATCAAAATGTAAAACGTAGAGGCATAGATTTTTTCACTGACATAACGAAACTCTTGATATCGTGTCCAGGAAGAAGGGCAACTCGCCCTTATCCTTTAAATTTTTGTGAATTTTTAACGAATTAATGAAATGTTTCATTTAATGAATGTTTTATTGAAAATTTTCTTTTTGTTTTATTTATTGAAAATTTAATGTTTTTTTTTTTGTTGAAAATTAATTTATTGAACGATGAATTTGATTAGAAATTTATTTATTGAAAATTAGTTTAAAATATTAACAAAGCAAATTAAAAAAAGCCAGTAAACTTTATCGGAAAAAATTTATTCAGAAATTAATTTACTGAAAAGTTCATGAAATGTTTTATTAAGTGTTAGCGATAAATTTTGCAATCTTTACCTTGAAAAATTATTTTTTGCTCTCACTTTTCTGCCTTTTGCATTTTTTGCGGCTATTTTTCACGACAGCGCAATTTGCAAGTTCCAAATATCGCCCTCGTACAAACACTTTTTTCATAAGCAAAACACAATCGCCGTGGTTTTTGAACTACCCAAGAAACTAATAGTCCATAGCCATGTAAAAAGAAATTTTCCAGATTGCGCAAATCAGGCAAATGACGAAAGAGGGCGCTCAATTTGACATAAGTTCGGGATCCACCGGCACATCAAAAATGGCGGTATTCCAGACAGCATCAAGCTTGATCTCGTAGCCAATAGCGCCCATAGTCTGAGAATATTTTTTTAATTCTTTTTTTTCTTTGGCTTTTTCAAGCTTTACGTTGTACTTTCCAACTGAAGCACCCGCGCTGCGGTTCTTCAGTATTACGCCGTGTTGATAAATGTAAAATGAAATATTCTGATCAACTTGCATGCACCCTTTTTTTTATGGAAACACAGAAACTGGGTATTTTGATGCTTTACGGATCAAAGGACTTGAGTTTATTTCATTCGAGTTAACAGCCAAAATTGTTGTATGAAGTTCCATGCGACTTTGTAACTGTTTAGGGATCGGTAAATTGGAATACTAGAAAACCCAGGCTGGAACGCATTGGGCAGGCCCATGCGATCATGCTTTTTTGCACCGGACTTGAAGTGCTGTGGTCAATAACTGCATGAATGGTTGTTGCTTTACATCTACCTTTCGCGGTCACAAGCATAAATCATCATAAATTTTGCATAAAGTAAAATGCTTTGGAAGTTGAATTTGAAATTTTTAAATTGCACATGGAACATCCCTCTAAAATCTCAGCCTTCCAGCTTATCTAGTTGCTGAGTTAACAATTCTCCTGCCAAATCACGTGCTTGTACGTTAGAACCACGCATACCTGAGGGCTGAATTTGAAATATTTGACTTGTACTTGAACAGGGAAAATCCCCTCAAAATTTGAGCTTTCTAGTTTTCCTGGTCCCCACGTTAGCAATTTTACCACCAAAACATTCATTCGCCCTTACTTGAGTGCCATGCATACCTGGGAGCTGAATTTGAAATCTTTAACTAACACATGCACAGGAAATATTCCTAAAAAATTCCAACCCCTTACCTTTGATTCCCGAGACCTCTCTCCCGCCAGAAAATTTGCTTATTATGCGTTTTTGCATATATGCAAATTGCAAAAACGCATATTGGGAAGAGGCTGTCTGTGTG